TAATTTTTGTATGAAAATAATCAAATGTATTCGTAAATTTGATAATGTTTAAAATAATTCGTGATAAACCACACAATACGATATAAAATAAAAATATTGTATATTATAAAAATTATATTTAATCGAGACAGGTATTTATCGATAAAGAAAAAAAGAATGATAGTTGGCAGCAATAAAATCGTTCTTTTAATTTAGTATAATTTCTTTATGTTGCAGATACGAACGAGAAGAAAGAAAACGAAATTGGAGAACGAATTAGTTTGCGAAGAAGAAAGAAAAAGAATCGATGAAATGAAGTTTTCAAATTAAACGCGAGCGTGAGTTTTAAACATATCATTAAAATATTTGTATAAATAAATTAGTTTTATATTTACATATACAAGATATTGAAATATGTTTCATATAGTATATCGTTAAATTAATATGATTATTTATTTATTTATATTTATTTTACATTTGCATAATATAACTTTTAATAAGTAAAACAAAAACGATTGCAATTTATAAAGATAACGGTACTTTTATCCATACTTTCTTTCGTACGATATTTTTATTCATAAAATGTGTTTCAAAATTTCAAACACATCGGTATAATAAATCCATACAATATGCATTATAAAATGAGATTAATATTTTTAAATTGCATTAATAACAATACGTACACGTGTATTTGGATTTATATAATTAATGTCAGAATTTTACGATAGATTTATATGTTTTATTAATCTTCTACAATCTTCTGCATATTATCTACTTTTATATATATATATCCAAATACACATACTTACACATACCTATCAGAAAAGATAAGGGGCAAAGAACTGAGACCGAAATTGGGGTTCTTAATTAGGTACTAAATTACCCTTTTGAAACGATGATCAGCAGTAACTTAAATTGTATTGGTTCCCCATTCCCCCTTTCCTCTCCCATCCACATATACATATATGTACGTACGAAAAACGTGTAAGATCACTATTAAGGAGACTGTCTTTTTAAAAAGTCGTCCACACACGAACTTGAATGCAGTTTACGCAGGTGCTGGTTGCTTTACCTGTTGCTGCGTGCTGCAACAGAATGCACCACCAATGGACAAGAAGAACAGCAGCAGCAACAACAAAAGCAAAAGCAACAGGCTGATATACGTTGCATAGTTATCCTCTCGTCAGGTTGGTTGTTGATCGAACACCCAGATCAACAACTACTATACTTTTACCCAAGAAATCGAACTCTCCTTTCCCCCTTTCCCTTCATCCCTCATCCCACCTCCCTCATCCCACCTCCCTCACCCCCAGCATTCCTTTTTTCTTTCTTCTTCAACATACAACTAGTCGGATGATCATCCTACGAGGTGACTCCAACGAGGACGAGTTTCTAAAGAGGGATAAGGGTAAAGGGAAAGGGAACACCACCACCACCACCACCACCATCACCACCATGGTATCTCGTTTCCTTAGTATGGAAATTAGCAAGGATCGCTTCTTCGAAGACGTTAATTCCATTAACGGATGTTTTCACGGCCGAATCCCGTTTCTACGGTCTTTCGTTAACTCACGAGAAGTAGTAGAAGAAAAAGAAGAAAAAGATAAAGAAAAAAAAAACAAAAAATAGAAGAAGAAGGAAGAAGAAGAAGAAGAAGAAGAAGCCGGTAGTAGTCGCGTTAGTAGCGCAATAACTTAGTTCCTTTCCCGACAGCCTTTATGCATAATCCTGGCGACGGGATGGGGGAAAAGGGGTGGTGAGGGAGAGGGGCAGGAGAGGGGGGGAAAGGTGATACAGGAAAGGACGAGAAAGCACTCATCACCGGCCTATAATAGAGGTACGCGTTGAGAGTAATTGACGAGCGGGGATCGACATTGTATGTTAAAAGGGGCACCCATGGTCTCTCTCTCTCTCTCTCTTATCGTTTCGACATGGAAAGAAGGCGAATTTCTCGCGATTATTAACGGGCTTCGTATGGAAGTATTATATTCTAGAAAATTGTTCCTCCTTTCTTTCTTCTTCTTTTTTTTTTTTTCTTTTTTTTTTCCATATTACGTTCCATGTGAGTTTTTAAGCCGTTTGAATGACGTGAACGCATGTATGCGTTCGAGGAAAGCAATCAGCATGGACCACAGGCGCATATACAAGCTTATCAATGTTTTCGTTTGTTTCTATTTTTCCCCCGTTGGTTTTTGAGAATTTTTCTGCTGTTTTTTTTATTTCATTGAAATAATTTACGTTAGAAGAGGGATTATTTTGTAAGATAGCGATTGCAATCGTTGCTATCGAAGGGTTAATATTTATTCGGAATAATCATTTCTTTTCTTTCTTTTCATTCGTAGGTCATTTTTCTTTTCCTCCTTTCTTATTGTTTTAATTTTGGGTTATATTGTTTGGTTATTTTCTTTTTTTGGTTTATCAAGATTATTAATGATTTCTAATCAATGATCGTGATCGATAAATCTCGAGAAGGATAAAGAAAATATTTGCGTATACCAATACGTTACCTAACGACGTTTATTATAATAAACGTATATACGATTTCGTCTAGGTCTACTAATCTGTTTGCAATAAACGATGAGACAAGTGTAATACGTCGTCATTCATTTAGATCATTTATGTCCAACGAACCGATCATTTTTCGAATCCTGTTACCCTGTGTTTCACGATAAAGATCTTTCTTGTTCATATGAGAAAGGTGTTCCTTTTTTTCTTTTTTTTTTTTTTTTTTTTTGAGGAACAACAAATGGGGTTGCATCAAAAGCATTATATATTGTATTATATATATATAAGGGGATATAGGTGTATGTGGTAAATGTGAGTATTAGTTACGTATATATTTACGATGTTACTTCTTTCGGAAAGGATTTGGTCGGATGTGCTTATTCGAGCGAAATTTCACTCCGGCAAAGGCGCACACAGGATAAAACCTCTTTTCTCCGGGCGTCCTTAAGTCAGCGGAGAGGACGAAAAAACGAGCACCGAGAGAAGAAACTTTGAAAGACGGAGGTCGATGCACCTACCACGAGGGAAAAGAATGTCCGAATCGATTCCTGTCTCTCTTTCTTTCTTTCTCTCTCTCTCTCTCATTCTCTTATTCGATAAATATAACCAACTATAAGAAAATATCCTGCTGAGAATCGAAAGGATTGAACTCGTGCAATTAGCAACGAACCAACGAATGGAAATTGGTTAAGGTCTAATTCTTAATAGGTATTTAATCAAACCGAATGAATTTAACGAGTTTTGCGATAAATCGTTAAACACGCGTCAACTTCTTCGTACCTAGTCCCTTTGCCAGCGGTCTGCGTTTAAAAGGGAAGAGGGAGAGGGGGACGAGACGAAAAACGATAAAGGGTTACAAAAATAATAAAAGAAAAAGAAGGAGTAAAAAAAGGAAGCGATGCCATTCAGAAAAGTTACATGATCGTTCTGTGAACGCACAACTTGGTCGAGTATTTCGTTAGATTTAGAACCGAGAGGACGCCATTTGTTTTTTTCATACATGGACACGAGATGGCCCTGCTGGAGCTCCAACAAGTAAGTAGTAGCAGCGATGGGTTTAGGGCGGGCCCAAAGGTTCGGCCCTCGCCATCCATTGGCGTGATCGACATTTTTTTTTTCTATAAAAGTATGTATATATATATTTATACCTATAAATCAAAAGTTGCACTTCTTTTCTTTCTTTTCATATCGTCCTTTTTGTTATGCTGCGAAATAATTAATATAATACACACACAGTGGGTTTGTTTAATCGATTACGCGAGTTTTCAATGTATTTGATTTATTTAGTTGGTAGAGAAACAAATATCGTGATTTTACGACGTCAAGCAAAGGCTTATTGTGTCTTCGTAGAAACGGATCTGCATGAGGATCCTTTCTGAAGGGATTGGCCCAACGCGGGACCGTGCTGCTTGCCCTCCTCGTGGCATGATCCCTGACCCTTTCGCGACTGCCAGAGTACATCGTAACGCAGCGGCGCTGCAACTATGTATGTATGTATGTATGTATGTATCTATGTATGTACGTGTGTATGCATGCATGCACTTATGTATGTATGTAGATATACATGTATGTGTACGCTGACTGCGGTTGCCACGATGACGTTGGATACTTTCAAATGCTTTCTCGGATATACATAACGCTTACTTTACCTTTCGTAACGTGTCTTCCACGCCAGTGAGGTAAGCACGCTGCTTTGCGGAATTCTGTCTGGAAACTTGTAGAGTAAAAATTCTTAGAAACCCGATCGACCTCGATTTGTCGTATAAGAAGTATCAAGAAAAACAAAACAAATAGTAAGCACGTATAGAAATAGAGTATAAGAAAGAAAGAGAGAGAGAGTGTGTGTATTCTGGTTGCAAGGTTAGCAACATGTTAAAACAAAAAAAGAAAAATACCTAAAAGAACTAGAAAGAAAGAAAGGGGAGAATGTAGGCGTAGGTGAGATCGAAAATCTCCGGGACAAGAACGAAAAGCAAAGCGAGGAAAGTCAGTCGTCTTTCATATAGTACTCGGCAACGGGCAAAGAAAAAGGGCATGTGCACATCGTGCACGCGCACGCGCACACTCGCGTACCATAGAGAGAAAGAGAAGAAAAGATATATCTTGGGGTCCGTAAGATCCTACGCCAATGGTAGGCGCGAAGGGAAGAATACGAAGGCACGAAAAAGAGTTTGCCATCGGGCGAACACTTTCCAGCGTGAGTTCGCTTGCGCGCGCGCGCGTTCGCGCGCTCGCGAGCGGAGTTCCACGACCGCGTTTCGGGACAACAGCACGCCGGTACCCAACCGTGAGGCCCCCCCGTCCTTGGTCCGTGTCAGTGGCATAGACCATAGAGGGCCCGTTCAAGGTCGAACCGAACGCGCACGAGTTCTCGCGAAATTGGCCGAGCTCCTCGGCCCGGCTCGGTATCCTTCGGCATTGTTCGTGTCGACTCGGCTCTCTTCGTTGGATTGCCCGCGCAACGTACGGCGCACGTGCGAAAGAGAGAAAGGGATAGATAGATAGATAGATAGATAGATGCGAGAGACGAGGAGTGGGGGAATTGATGGGAGGCGATCGAGGGGCCTTCTTACACCGAGTGTCATCCTATACCCGTGGGCCTGCCACGTCGTTTCGCCGCGTCTTAACGCACATTAATACACGTTATATGTGTACACCAACGCCGCGACACCGGTCGCGGTTTTCACCTCCCAACCCTCCCCCCTGCCTTCATTCTCCATTTTTTTCTCTTTTTTTTTTGCCTTTATTTCTTTTCCCCTTTCTTTTCTCATCGTTCTTTTTTTTCTTCTTCTTATTCTTTGCCAGGTCTCTTTTATCCCTTATGCCGGACGAA